AAAAGACACCGGAGATTTCCGACTAATTCGAAAAAAAGAGGTGAAAATGTCACCTTGTTAGAAGACATAAATTCCAGCCGAGGTGAACGCCGGCCGGCGCCTCCTTAAAACAAAGAGTAGAAAGGGGATAATTTGAAAACACGACTCGTGAGAGCTTATTCAACTAGCCGGTGATAAACATAGCCCGTGAAAGCCTAGTTTCGGCCGGCTTCTTTTCCTACTTAAAAAATGGGCCCGAGTTGGCCAATAAAATATTCAAGACTCCGGCCAAAATTCACTACTCGGTTATTAAATGCTCGACACAAGTTTATAAAATGGGAAAAGTTAATTGGCAGTTGGAAGGAGTTCTTCGATGGTGTCGACACTCTCGTTGGATTTTCTTATGAAACACGACCCAGTTTATCAGTTTCAATTTTTCCCCCAGGGCAAGATTTCTTGTCAATTTATTTATATTTTTAATTTTTAATTCAGGGTGTTGCCTACAACATAAATTGAATTTTTAAATTTTTAAATTTGCCTAGGGTACCTCGTACCTTGACATTCCTGCATATAAAAAATTATCTTTTAACAGGAAGATAAAAACACCCATTGTTACTTTTAAAATTTACACTTTCTAACTTCTCAAGTATCATAAAAGAAATTTACTTTCATAAATTCTTGACAATTTTACTGGCCAAAAATTAACGAATGAAAATTTTATTAGTTTAAAGTAATTTATTACAGAACAGAAGTTGGAAGTTCCGTAATATTAGCCTGTTTTACGAGATTGGCCCAGTTTTTATAAACTTCATTAATTTATGAAATACTCATTTGATAATCTGGTTTTGTCGCTAGCCCTTCGATCCGGTTTTACTTGGAGTTAACAGATTTTGAAACAGTCGAGTCACCGCGTTTGCAAAGAAGAAACGTTCAACAGTGTTGAAAAGCATAAACAAAACGGATTACACGTTATGAGGACTGTCGTTAAAACCGAGCCCCGGGCTTGGATGCAAATGTCATGGAAAATGATTCCTCACTCGTCCCGCCTGCTATCCTGCAAATTACCTAAAGAAAGTTCCATTCCCATAGAGTTGAGGAGCGTAACGTGGGATTCCTCTATTCCAAAAAAACATACTCCACTAAATTAAAGCCGCATTTTTTCCCAGATGCAAAACAATCGGGGAAAAGTCAATAAGTCGATCAAATACAAACATCCTCGATCGTTTTGTCCCAATGTTATTTTTATTGGTTCGTGCTACTTCTGTTTTTTTATGCATGACGCGACCAAGAGATACAAAAAGAAGATATGAAGATGTGTGGTATTCTAACATGTAACATTTACAAATAGACGTTTATTGATAATGATCATTCGAATTTGCAATAATCATGCAACGCCCAACACACAGAGATATTCAAGATACTAAAGAATAAGCATGTAAACGAGTGGGAAAAGTGATATCAAGAATCTGCGAAAGGCCAATTTTACAAACAACCGGAGCCTAATTATTTGAAAAGTAACTGGTTCAATAATCAAGTAATAAGTACGTTGTTATGGAAACAGATCGGTCGGCTAAGATCTAACCCCGCAATATGCAATGAACACTTGAACAAGATTAACATTGTATATGTGATAAACGATCTGCTACTGGGTCAATGGAACATCTAATCACGAGCTTAAAGCTAGAAAAAGGATGATCTTTTTGATTCCTTGAAGGCGTATTTTACTCTGCCTTTCAATTATACAATTATACAACAATATAAACACCTATGCCTCGTTATTAAATTAAAGCAACAAATTTCATAGTGTAACTAACGATCTAATCAACTAAGATTGGGAGATGGCGAGGAGCCTTCGGTCGAGTGGGCCCTGGCCCGGGTTTGAGGAAAATGAAGGAGAGGGAGGGAGTGAGAGAGAGAGAGAGAGAGAGAGAGAGAGAGAGAGAGAGAGAACGAGAGAAAGAGAGAGAGAGAAAGAGACAACAAGAGAGAGAAAAAATGAGAGAGAGAAAACAAGAGAGAGAAAAAATGGGAGAGAGAGAAAAAACGAGAGAGAGAGAAAGAGAGAGGGAGAAAAAGAGAGGGAGANGAGAGAGAGAGAGAGAGAGAGAGAGAGAGAGAGAGAGCGAGAGAGAGCGAGAGGCACAGACAGACAGACAGACATAAAGATCATAATCATGTAAGTATGTATAATAAAAAACAAAATAAACATTAAAAAATTATTCACGTTATATGTATTCATTAATTAAGGATATAACTTTTACTACCTATAATATGGTCCCTGGGCAGTCCGGGCATAGAGGCAAAAAAAGGTTGACATGTTGGCCAAAGAAGGGGCTAACGTGGACTCTCTAGGTCCTGTACCATACTGTGGGTTATCGTCCTGCCAGAAAAGAGGCTACATTTTAAAATGGATCCTTGATGAGTCCAAAACCTGGTGGATTCATAGAAGGGGCATCCGCAAAACTTACAAAGGAATTATTAGAAGGCAACCGCAACCGAACCAGGATTCTGGTTGGACCCCTGCACTGCCACTTAAGAAAGCACATTCACCGGTTAGGAGTACAGATAGAGCAGAAGAAACACTGTGCAGATTTTATGTTTCTGTGAAGGTTTATGTAGGTGCAGGTTCTTGCAACTAGGACAGGAAAAACCACAAGGAAGATCCTACACTAAGGAGGCGCTGGCAAGGCTATGGAGATTGATTAACACAACCTAAAGCTGGCCATTGAGTGATAAAAAAACAGGGGATCACAATACATCTACTCAGGTCAAGGTGCAGAAGGCCGCCTCTTTTATCCTACCCTTATCTACAGTAATGTAAAAAATTATTCAAAAATAATAAAACTATTATTGATAGAGCACACTTAAAGAAGAAAAGTTGACGTAGTAAAAATCTATAAGCGTTGAAGTCTCTTTTGTTCATCCTATTAAGAAATTAATTCTGCCCAAAACTCCCCCGACTAATTTGGACCTTGTTGATTGAGCTGCCGCTATTATTTTTATAAATTAACTATAATCATTCTTGGCACCGTACATAAACGCAAATTTGCGTTTGAAAACAAGCGGATGCATTTGTCGTGAAAGGTAAAATATTTCCTCAGTGGCCTTCGCCTTGATATCGGTTGTGCAATAAACAAATAGATTTTTACATTAAATTTATTTAAATATTATGCCTTAAAACCTAAAAAACTTGGATTTATAACAACGTCTGGGATAACATGACCCGAAAGGATCTAAATGAGTCCTTTCATAAAACTCCAATAAAATAAATAGTAAGGGGCTTAGGTGTCAAATCTTCCTGGTTCTTCGTTTCTTACCATCAATGACTGTAAAACTAAAAAGTTTTTTAAATGGTTCCCATGCTCTACAAGGTGAGACGAAAAGATAAAAGTCGCGAGTGTATCGTTGAAAAGAATTAACAAGAAGAAAATTACAGCATGTCCGAAAAGTCAGCCTTTTCTGCAAAAACTAGTCTTGTTAGTTATCCTATATTATTTATACCTATGTACCTCTTCTTTCTCTTAAACATTATTTTCTGATTTACTTTTATCCATCCTCTCTATAATATTTGACCAGAAAATTTAAAATTATTGGGGAGGGGGTGAAAATATTACCTCGACCATAGAACGTTATTATATTCGTATAATACTTTCGCAAAAATATGAAAATCGGTTATTTCACATAGAAAACAATTATGGGAAGAACATATGCAGAAACCAGAAGAAGACAACAAAGACTTCATGAATTCACCTATTTTGGATGTGACCTTTTAAAGTGCTAATGGTTTTTGGACTACCTCTTGACGGCCAGGTGTTATGAAGTTTTGCTGTCTTAACTGAAGGTTAGAATTAATATATTTTATGGCTCATAACAATACCACCTCAAACACAGAACATTAATTTTTTAGGTAAGATTTAAGATAATATTTATTTAGAAATGTATTATCATTATTTAACTACTTCTTGATAATTGTAAATTTTTATTATTGTATTGTTAGGAATGCTGAAGACGATCTTTGTAGCCAGAACGCCATCTCTAACTACCACGGAATACCTGGTTTTTTTCATCCTTAATATACCATGGAAAGATCTGAACAAATTATAGGTTATTTTTCCCCTCAGCGATATTATATTGTATAATTATTTTAAAAAGTAAATAGAACAGCACGAATTCTAGTAATTTTACGGCGACTTTGGCGATTTCCCGGATAAACCGAAGGCCGACTAATGTAGAAGGATGAAAACACCATTTCGAAAGGCCACCAATGCAGTTTTAAGGACCACGACCAGTAGGAAGGAAATGATGCCCGGAATGAGATCTTTTGGGAATGGAAGGCCGAGCACGGGACAAGTTGGGAATGGTGTGTTGCCTCTAAGGCCGAGAATCATCTAATGTTGAAACACACCTGTTCTACTCGTCCTTTAACAGTTAAAAAAGTCAATGACTTGTTCCTGACCTCGCCCGGCGAGGTTTAGGAGCATGAATGCGTTTGCCAAACGAGGGTCGGACGCAATACGACGGATCATAGATCCAGAAGGTGTTAAATTACTGCGTTTAAAATATTGGGTTGTCCGGAAAATAATGCAGGATTTTGGTATTAAACAAAAAAAAAGAAACTAGTTACTTTAAAGCAATGTTCTTTAATCAAAATAATTTCNGACATTCATACAAATGAGTAATCCTGTAAACGTAAACAGAATATTTTATATAGATTTTTTTTAATGAAAACTTAAAATCCTGCATTATTTTCCGGACAACCCAATAGTTTGTGATAATATTTGATAAATAAATATTTTTCATCAATTGATTGTTTTAAGAGATTAAAAAAGGATTGGATGATAATTAGAAAGTTTTCATTGATAAGAAGTAGTACTGCCAACTAGGCGTAATGCATGTTTAAAGGATCCGCTCGAATTCAACATTAGAGACAGTTAATAAGCGTAAAATCGAGGATTTCACAGGCTTGTCGAAAATTAAAATTTCGACTCGATGCCGAGGCATGAGCAAAAAATGCAAATTACCTACTTCCAATCCCGACTACTTCTGGTCCGACTATGTGTTCCAGCTGGGGCGATTTTGTGGTTTGATTCTTATGGCCTGCCTGGAATTAAAGAAACAGTTATGTAAATCAGTTCGTATATGGAGTAAATGGGCAGGGTGGAGTTGGCGTGAATGGGGAAAGAGGGCGCCTCCGTTACCGTTAAGTGCACCTATCAATCTATACCTGTGTTCACACAGATCGTCTATCGAAGCCTCGTTCGAGACGTGATCTTATCTCAGACACCCACAAGACAATAAAGTTAGAACGGGCAAGTTCCTCCGACGGTCGGTCTATACAGAAGTTGTATGAGAAATGACACCGTTTGTACTACTCCAGAAAACGCCTGAAGCTGAAAATCTCAACATTGACATCAATATACTACCGTCACTATAATTTTGGTATATGTTTAAAACACATTATACAAAATTTTAAAATCAAAAGGAACACATTTCACGCTAAGTACACATCTAGTTCATCATTACCGTAACATTTTAATAAAAAAATGCACAACGGATTTATGGGATGACCTAAGCAAGGTATTCGAGTTCGATCAGGTAGCAAAAAAAAAGGAAAACTCCTTTGTTGATACACTGACGGATCTAGAACGCAAAAAATGTACAAGGGTGAAAGATCTTGCCCTACACTAATATTTTACGATCAAAACTTCAACTATAAAAAAATCCACCCATAACAAAGACGATACAGAATTTTTTTTTTAGTTAATTTGTTACCTATACATGATAGTATAACAAATGATGATGAAACATGATTAATATATCACACAGCGCAACACCTGCATTAATGCCAGCACTGCACACATGCTTAGCCAGCGTAGAACACATGCTTTGAGGAACCAGCCACTCTGGCACTTAGTGGGTATAATTAGGGGTCAAGGAGGTCCCGAGGCCATCGTCAGGCGACTTGGTCAGGGTGGGAATGAGTGGTTAGGACTCGAGCAGTATGATTAGGATGGTTCGAAAGGTTGGCTGCAAATAGCCAGATATGGCTTAGGAGCGGCAAAACAAAAAAGCACAGACGGTCCGAAAGGTTGGTGTGGAAGGTTTGGAATCTGGACCGGATTAGTTCGTTGACAAAAGGAATGTTGAGGTATTTGTGGATAGGGAGGTTAGTGACATAATAAAGAGCTTTGACAATTTGTCTAAGGACTTTGGATTGGAAGGACTGGATGCGCTGGATACTGGAAGTGCCCCACAGTTCCACTCCGTATGTCCATATTGGTCTTAGTAAACTCTTGTACAGTGTTAGCTTTGTCTTAATTGTCAACGTCGATTTCGGTCTTAAAAGTCTTCGTAGTAGTCCAAGTCTTGTATTAAGTTGCCGTTTTTTAAGTCTTATGTGGGGATTCCACGTCTGTCTGCTGTCGAGATGTAGTCCCAGGTATTTGACTTAAGTGGAAACTGTTATCTCTTTGTTTTTGATGTACAATGGAGGGCAAGACTGCTTTTTCAGCGTAAAAGTACACTGAGTGCATTTTTCTTCGTTCAGTCTTGTCCTCCATTTTTTACACCAGTCTTCGATAAGCTCAAGGAGTTCCTGGATGTTGGAGGTAGCTTGGACAGGATTCGAGTTAGAGAATAGGGTTGCGGTGTCATCCGCGTAGGTGGTGATAATAGTGTCGGATGTATTGGTAGGTCAGCAGTATAAATGATATATAGGACAGGACCAAGGTACACCTTGCGGTACACCGGCCTTTTTCTGTTTGACTTCCGAGAATTCACTGCCGCACCTCACTCTGAAACAGCGATCAGTTAGGTAGGATTTCAATAAAAGGAATAATGAGAGGGTAGGAAGCGCTTAAGTTTAAAAAGTATGCCTTGATGCCAGACCCTGACGAAAGCCTGTGCTACGTCTAAGAACGCGCCCAGGCAAAACTCCTTTTTTTCTGGGACCGATGAGATGGGGACACAGAAATAAATAAAGACACGTATAACGTCAAGACAGCCAAGAAATAATCAGGCCGCTGTATTCAAATATATAATAAAAGACTTTCACGCCAACCTAGGTCATGCAAGCTGAAATACATGCTTCAATATTTATGGGAAATTTTAAGAGGTTACACTGATTACATCCTCATAAGACCATGCCGTCAAGAGGTAGCCGAAAAACCATTAGCACTTTAAAAGGTCACATCCAAAATAGGTGAATTTCTAAACGCCTGACAGAACCTTGGGTCCCAGGGCACATAGGAAATTTGGGTGATGAACTCGCAGACAAACTGGCTAGAGGAGAATCTCTAAGACCCACTATAGGCCCAGAACCAATATATTAGATAAGATCAAGCATAGTCTTCTAAAAATGGGTCCACACAAGCAAAAGGAGAACTCGACGAACTTTAGAAATGCCAGACACTGAGGGTTAAAGAACTCAACTCGTCAAAACTATAACACCTATACTGAGAAAAACCCATAAGAGTGATAAGGCTCATAAGGTAAAACGATATTAGCGTTAGCAGATAAAAAGGTCACATTCAAAATAGTCATCCTGACTTTGGGTGCAGGGCAGAAAGGCATTCTGGGTAATGAACAAGCACACAAACTGGCCAGGACAGGAGGAGGTCTTAGAGGAGGATCTCTAAGACGAACTAAAGGCCGAGAACCTGTAATGCATATAGAATGGATATAATGAAAAAGGAAGAAAGTAACTATAACCTTGACAAACCCATTCGAAAAAATAGCGTAAAATGAATGCATAACAGGAGGTTATAGAAAAGGGATTGTGCCTAAAGGAGTGATGATAGATTTCCGACCTTCTGCGGTAATAAAAATGCCAAGGACATTTTAAAGACAGAATAAAGAGCTAAGGACCAATCACTAAGCCGCACTGAGGAAAATGAAACAGCACAAAAAGCATGATTTCTAGCAGGTTCCTTGTTACACTTTATGGATATTTGGTAAAGGTTGAGGTCAGAGAACGCAAAACAGTCACCATCTATATGAATCCGTGAAACAAAAGAATTTGGGGAAAATAACAAGCGGATAACATGCAGCATGCAAAGGAAATGTCATATGCCCCTAATGCAGCATTGGAGTACACACTACCAGAGGTAAATTGAGAACTACAGATACGGGTAAAATTACAAGCCGTGCAGATGAGAGAATCAAATCCTTCGGCATAACAGAGATGAAGATGGCAGAAGGGAAGAAAGGCAGAGAATATGTTCGACAGGACACTCCTCGCTCAAAGACCATTAGAAAATGATTGGATGTAATGAGCAATCCAAAATGAACGTGAAAGTTCATAAATGAAATAATACTAACCGAAACACTGTAAATACAGAATAAGGTACTACAATTAATAAATGATAATTTATAACTAAGCACCCTGAATTCGATAATAATTACTGCAATTTTATGATGGTTAAAATCATACTTCCATTAATACACCTCATCACTGTTTTGCGTGGATTTTGTCCCGACAACAAACACAAAAACACAAACCAAACAAATCCATTTAACCATCTTGTCTGTTTTTCACAAGTATACCAAGAGATTCTGCCTGCATTTATATTCACGGTTCATGTTCTTGAGCCCTGAATAGTCATGAAACGCTTAACGACCATGTGAAATGTTCCACACCCTTCAAGTTGACATTTATACAGTTGTTATTTTTTTCCACTAAGCGTCTTCTTCCTTATGCACAGTCTAACGGTACTTTTTAAACATTTTTCCCACTTACGACACCGGTGGATCCTTGACTGCGTTTCGCCTTGACAGTTTGTAAACAAAAGCGGATTTTCTGTTAATTCAAGCTGAAACGGACGTATTTGCGTTGGAAACGATTGGGAAAGAAAGGAATCGGGTTTCCAAACCGAAGCAGAGATGACGTCGACCGAAATGGAAAAATGTTTTCAACACTTTTCCGAACAAATGAAACTTCTGACTTTGAAAGACCATTTTAATCGTTCGTATTACATAAGGAGAGTTGGTTATTAAAGTATCCAGGATTTCTGGTCCTAATTGAACTGATATTTACATATAGACGTTATCTCATTTATTAACTGATCACTGGCGTTTCAAACGTTCATTTCAGCCTTTCGAAACCAGGTTTTGACCTGTCTGGTTATGATGAAAAATATCATTGGGAACGTTTTATAATGTTAAATTCAGTCGAACTTCGCGGTTTCACTCTTTCTCCCTCTTTTTTTAATTTCCAATTGTTGTGGTAATATCGTTTGAGCTCTAGTTGTCTAACGGGCCTGGACTTCTCCCCGCATTGAGAACACCGTCCCCCACAGCAGTTTGGCAGTTCAATTTCGGTTGTGGATCAGAAAGTCAATTGAAATTTCGACTATGTGGTAAACATTCCACCAACTACGGTAGCATAATAGTTAAATTACCAAAAAAAATAAATAAATAGGGTACTATTTGAACAACCGCTGAGAGATCAAGCAAACCAGAGAAGCTTTAAAGAAAAATATTAAATATTTACATACAATACAACAGCTTTACGCCAGAGAAGATCACTATTTCCTAATTTGGTTGTTTTGCACTATAGATTTCAATTCTTTAGATCTCATGCAGATTATTATTTGCATAAAGTTGATTTTTGTATAGAGAAATAAGGTCTCGTTGGTGGAAAAGTTTTTAAAAACAGTTCACAAGGGGACAGCAAATATAAAATTTTATACAATCCAAAAAATACGAACATTTAATTACTGCCATTACTGGTTGTCGGAATGTTCTCTTGTTTGGGATTCCTACACTGCTAAATATATTCATAAAATTCAAATTTGGGATGCCTACACTGATAAATATATTCATAAAATTCAAATTTGAGATTCGTACACTGCTAAATCTATTCATAAAATTCAAATTTTGGATTCGTACACTGCTAAATTTATTCATAAAATTCAAATTTGAGATTCCTCTATGCTAAATCTATTCATAAAATTCAAATTTTGGATTCTTACACTGCTAAATCTATTCATAAAATTCAAATTTGGCATTCGTACACTGCTAAATCTATTCATAAAATTCAAATTTGGGATGCCTACACTGCTAAATATATTCATAAAATTCAAATTTGAGATTCGTACACTG